TCTTTCCCTTAGGGGCTTTGACATTTTTCAGTTCAGAGAACAAGTATCTCCTGCTGAGTGAGAACTATTCTGCCCTCTGAACGAGACAAGTAGATGCTGGAGCGATAGGTGCTTTTCTTTCAGTATAAGAGAAGCAGTGGTGTGCCTTGTATCCCTTGGGTCTAGGTGTAGTTCATAATTGAAGCAGTGAGCCTCATCTGCTAGCTTTCCTTCTGCCAGGAGTGAAATATTCCAGTACTGTCACTGCAGTGGCTCTAATTAAAGAGTTCCAGAAGAGGAGGAACTGTCTAACCTGGGACTGGCATCCAGCACAGAAAGGCTGTATAGCTGCTGGGGTGGGAGGAAGGGAAGCGGCTCTGGGCTGGTGGAGCCAGGGGGGGAGAGATCCGTACGTGTGCTGTGTTTTAACATGTGTTTTCTTTTGCAATATAGAGAACTTTAGTTGGTTTGGTGAGAGACTTGAGGGGAATAGCCTTTGCCTTCAATGCCAAGACCAGCTTCATGATGCTGTTTGAGTGGATGTATCCTTCTGTTGCCCTAAAACTTGAGTCATCCTGTCTGTCGGAGGGGAGAACTCTGGCTGACTGCATCCAAATGCCCTGTTTTCCCTGCTAAATCCTGACTGGGGTTTCTCTTCACTTTTATAGTACTCGGTGTCCTGTCCCTAAGCCCTAAAATAGATTTGACTTGCTCTGTCTGCAACCAAGTCAACCTAGAAATCTGCTCAAAGCTGAATTGTTGGGGTTTTTCCGATTGGACCTAAAGGATTTGACCTGTAAAGCACAAAGGCCTTTAATGGGATGCTTGCGTCTCAGCAGCAACAAAAGCTTTCCTCTTGCTCGCTAAAGCCAACAGCAGTTAGTATCTTTGTCCTCTTGGTGAGAGCATAGCTGCCTAAAGAGCATGGTATCTGGGCTCCAGAGTTCTCTTTGGCTGGTGAAGGTCAGCTGTCTACAGTGACAGATCTTTGCATCTGCCTTCACTTTCATTCAAAACCTTTATTTTCTGGTTTGTCCTAGTATAAGAAGTGTGTATGCAACTCCTTCTACGGACTTAAGATTATTTTTTTTAGTTACTATTATTTTTCTGTGATAAAGCAGACCTCAGCAAGCAGCATCTCTGTTTAACCTAATTAAGTAAGCTCTTTTGCAAGACTTGGGTGCCGTACACAAACTAGGCCTTTTTGGTAGAGGCTGTGACCTTTTCTCTTCGTGCAAAACAACAAAGTTCCTTAGCTTTCACCTTGCAGCTACCCATCCTACATGCCAATCCTGCAGCGAGCAATTGAACTCTGGTACCATGACCCAGCCTGCACTACACCAGTCCTAAAACTGATGGCAGAGTTGGTACATAATAGGTATGAGCATCTGAAAGCCGGCAGGGATTTGTGTCTGCTGCTTCAGCCTTTGGGAGGGGATTTGGTGCCCAGTTGTGTTTTCTCTACTTCGGTCTATTGATGCTATAAAGGCTGCCAAGAGGGCAGGGGGAAAACTGGCATTGTTTCAGTAGGGAAGAAAATCTCACAGTCCAGATATCAGTCGTGTCGTGACTCAGACCAAGAGACGATCAATAAACACTGAATTTGTTCAGCATCTGCTTCCAAGGACAGCACTTTAAGATGGAGGCAGGCAACTCGTGTTAATTTTTAAAACCTGCATTTAAAATGAGCGTTGTTCTATCTGGCAGCCAGACGACCACTTTTGCTTTAGAGCATCAGCTCTTTTTGCCAGCAGAGGGGTACCTCTGACGCTAGTCAGATAATTCAGAAGCTGTCTAATCCGGCAGTGGAAGGTTGCCAAGACGTTGCTCTGGCCTAGGGCCAGCCGAACACAACCCTATAGGAAGGGACCGTTGTCACAGCCGAGTGGAAGGGACACAAGGTTCAGTCACTGGAGAGTTGACTCCCCGTACTGTCAGACTGTTTGCCACATTCGAGTGGCATCTTTGCAGTAGGACAATCCTTACTGGAATATGTCCACTCATTGATTTCAGAGGTGAACTGGACAACTCGCTGCGCTTCAATTGTAAGATCTATTCACTGTAGGGGGAAAAAAAAAATGTCAGGCTCTGAATTCTTGGTCATGTTATGAATAGGAGCTAGTCAGCCTGCCCTACAATGCTGCTTCCAAGATGTTCGCTGTGTTTGTGTACAGCAGCCTAGTGACTATTGCCAAGACAGGATTTCCAGCCTTGGTCTTGTAATATTCCTAACGTCTGTGAAATATAGGCCCTTTCTTCTGCAACAGTAGAGCTCGTCTCTCCCTAAGTGGCTGTGTCCTGCCTGGCTTTGGTAACGAACAGCAGTATTTTCTGCCAGACCAGGGTGTTTTGTCGAACTCTGGGAAGCAGCCCTGGGAGAAGGGTGCCCCAGTAGACAGCGGCACGTGGAGGTGCTGGAGTATCAGCTGTGTTTTCGCTCCCAGGTATGTTTGAGCTCAAATTTATTCCCTGTCTTTCCCGTTAGATCCCAACGGCTGCAGTTTGACGTGTCCTCACCAAACGGCATCCTGCTCTTCCGAGAAACGAGTAAAATGATAACTACGTATGGTGAGTATCCGGCAGGTGGGATCCAGGCAGCCTCGGTCTGCCCTTGACTCCTCCACTTGCTTGGGGAGTGAGGGCTGGGGCACTTGCCAGCTCAGAGAGCGAGCCCGGGCTGGGAAGCAGTGCCAAATCGCTTGCTGAATGCATGCTTAGATATGATGAGATTCTGCTGGAAGTGCTGGGTAGGCAGGCGAGCAGAAGGGCCAGGGTGTTTGCCATGCAAATGAGGAAGAAAATGACAGCAAGGAGCAGGAGCCCAGCTGAGCCCCTTGTGAGTGTGCAAGGTGACACAGGCAAACCTGTGCAGCAAGCGGAGAGCAATCCTGTCCTTATGCTGTCCTGTTTCCACAGCAAGATTATGTGCTGTTGGATTTTCCTATGGTTTCCAGTAGAGCCACAATTTTACCTTGTAATGGGTTCCCCAACCTTTTCCTGGGGAATAAGTCTCTGGTGCTTGTGGCTGACTTCTCAGTCACTCCTTATGGCTCTACTTTTGTTATTCCTGCACCATGGGGGAGAAAGGGTCTGGATGTGGCTGCTGAAATACTGAGTCCGCTTCTGTGCTCATGCAGGAAATCGTATCCTAACGCTTGGGGAGGTCCCAAAGGATCAAGTCTATGCCTTGAAGCTCAAGGGGATTTCCATCTGCTTCTCTATGCTCAAGGCCGCACTGAGCGGGAGCTATGTCAACTTTGGGGTCTTCCGTCTCTACGGGGATGATGCACTGGACAATGCCTTGCAAACTTTTATCAAGCTTCTGCTTTCCATCCCTCACAGTGACCTTCTGGTAAGCCAACACCTGTGATTAGCAGTGTAAACACATGGCTAGGGAAGTCAGGGTTGGAAGATTTTGCAGTAAAGGAATACACAGAGATGAGTGAGCCTGTGCCACTTCCCGGAACCTCAGGTATTGGCACAGGCCAGCACAAAATTACAGCTCCTGGGATGTGCAGCAGCTGTAACCCCTCTGCCCAAGGGCTTGCTGAGGTACACTCCGAGTCTCAGCAGAGCATTTGCCAAACTAATGGCTCCTCTACCTGAAAAACACTTCCTGTGAGTGAAGGATTTGCCTGTGGGCAGAGATCTTGGTGCATCAGCATTTAGGGTGCAACCTGCTTGCTGAAGACATCCACCTACGGAGTCTCGCTCCTATCCAGACCTCGTATACAGAAACCCGTTTTGCAGCAGAGCTTTGAGACCCTATTGGCACAGTCCTACTCAGCAAAATATCGAGGAGAAAGGACGGCATGTATTCCTCCCAAGTCTTACCTGTCTTATTGCCGTAGCAGGATCTGAAAGAAGTTGTTACTATCTCTGTGACTGCATTCAGCACATTCTTGATTTAATATACTGGTGGCCAGACCATTGCTGTTGAGACATGCAGCTCAAATGTGACTCTTGAGAGTGGGACACTTCACAGGACTCCCAGCAGAGTCCCCCCCCCAGTCTGGGGACTGCTGAGGGGTCTGTGGCACTGACAGCAGCGCAGGCTGCTGAGCCCAGCACTGCCCCCATTGATTTTTATGTGATCTGGCACTCTGCGTGGCCACGTGGAGAGCCGTTCCTATCTCTGCATCTCCAGCACTGGCATTAGTCAGCTAACACTCCCCGTTTAGAAAAGAGTGAAGCAGTGGGGAAAGATGTTTTGATATAACAGCGTTGGGAACCTGCTGGTGCTGAAGCCTGTTTGGAAGGCTCTTGGTAGGGGAGAAGGGGAGGAAAATACGTTGGCCCGTAAGTTGTGCTGTGAGAGAGGTTTGTTTGTTCTCTTTCCAGGAGATTCAGTAAGCAGTTTTTCAGATGATTAATGAATGGGTTGGGTCTAGCAGAAAGCCTTGACTGATGGTTACCGGCTAGCCATGAGGCCTTAAAAGTCATCTTTTCTTCCTTTCTCTGCAGGATTATCCCAAGCTCAGCCAGTCATACTATTCCTTGCTGGAAGTTCTTACCCAGGACCACATGAACTTTATAGCTAGTCTGGAGCCTCATGTAATCATGTATATTCTCTCTTCCATTTCAGAAGGCCTCACTGCACTAGGTAACTACTTCTGTTCTCTGTGTTGTGCTCTTAGGGCTTTGATTTGCAAGTGGGGAAAGATTTTTGGTTGCTTTGAATGCATGGTATTTCAGGCTAACAGATAAATTAAGATACACCTTGTGAGTGGGTGGAGGAGTTTCACCTCTGTTAAAGTCTGGAACTATCTAGAGATAGTGAATATGTCAGTGAGGAAGTTACTACCTGGTTAGGGTTAGGTGGATCTGGCTTGCAGAGTGCCTAAAAGGACCCAGATACGTGGTGGTGTTTCCCTGGGAGCCTGCCCAGGTGCATCCAAGCAAGGGAACTGCTGGCAGTACCCCAATATCTCCCCCTTTCCTGTTCTTGCAGACACCATGGTTTGCACAGGCTGCTGCTCCTGTTTGGACCACATTGTCACCTATCTCTTCAAGCAGCTGTCTCGCAGCACCAAGAAGAGGACCACACCTCTGACCCAGGAGAGCGACCGGTTCCTGCACATTATGCAGCAGCACCCGGAGATGATTCAGCAGGTAAAGACCGAGGGCGTAGGGCCTTGTTGTGGCATGGCACGGTAAACTCCCCGATGAGCTCTGAATTCTCTTAGTGTGATGTAATACGGGGGCTGTGTGCTCCCTGCTCTAGAGCCCCAGGCTTTTCCGGAGGAAAAAGTATGATTTGCTAATACTGCATCTCTCCTACACCTTCATCATATGGTAGGTCTGGCTCAAAGCCATGCTTCAGGGCCGTGGTTCTCCCTGTGCAAGGAGCACCATTTTTGCATTTCAGATATGGAAGGAAGTAGCCAAAAATGAGCTTTTTGTCTTTTTTGGAGCACATGCTGCCTTGGCAGCGTTCACACCTGCTTTCAGAACAGCCTGAGCAGGGTGAATTTGAGAATAGTTGTTTACGTGCCGGTAGCACCTCTGTCTCCTGCCTCTCCATCCACAACGCCTCTGCTAGGCATGGAGCTTGCTGGGATTTCTCTTCTCTCTGGGCCAGGAGCCTGCGCAGTGCAGAGGATCGATAGTGAGCCAAGACATTTTCCTTGCTTAGATCAGGCTTAGCTCAGCATATACCTACACGTACCATGTGGTTTAGGTACCTGTGTCACTTAATGACAGATGATTCTGCTCACAGAGGTTTTGGTGCTCAGGAGGGCCCTGTGCTGGGATCTGGATATCCGTACTTCACAGCAAAATACTTTTACGTGCCTCTTGCCCTGGCCCTGCGGCTTTGAACAGCAATGCTCTGCATCTCCAACAGTGTTATCCAGCCTTGCTCGCTGGGACTTGTCAAAGTGTCAGCATGACTCCCACGTGAAAGCAGGGAATATCATTCCACCCTTGCTGATAGATGAAAGAAAAAGCAGGCTTTTTTGGGGCTAGAAGCTGTGCTTTCTGAGGATAAAGAGAGAAACTGCATCTTCTGAACCAGCTAGGTTAGATACGGGCTTTAGTCTAAGGAGGCTGTGGCAGGGAAGGCAGACACCCCTGGTGTGGACTGGAGGAAGCTCCCCAGCGCACCCCAGCACATACTTTCTGCGTTGAAGCACTCATGATTACCTTGTTTAAGTGCAGGTCAGACAATCTTTTGCCTGGCTGCCTTGGGGCAGGGTGGAGTGTGTCAGGAATAAATATTGTAACGGCTTTCAGCACACCTCCTCCGTGAGCCTTCAGGGAAGTTCTGCCCCGGTTCATGGAGGCTGCGGGTCCTCCTCGTGTCCCGTGATGCTGAGAGCTCTGTAGCGTTGAGCCTCCACCATTAAAAGTGAATCATTAGGCCTGAGCCTGCGTGGTGGTGAGGAGAGAGCTGGGGAGGGAAGGGCTGGTTGTAAACCTCGCTTTCCCTCTTCCAGATGCTGTCAACAGTGCTGAACATCATAATCTTTGAGGACTGCAGGAACCAGTGGTCCATGTCTCGGCCTCTGCTCGGCTTGATACTGCTCAATGAAAAGGTAAACACCGCAGCTGGAGGAGCTGTCTGGGCTTGAATGATGCAGAACGGTGTTGGAGCAGGTGGCTGGGAAGTTGGGACAGGAGAGATTGTGTGTGCCAAGCCCTTAGGAGCCTGTTCACTTCCATTTATGAGGCCATTAGAAGTGGCCTGAAGAGCTGTAACGCGTTTCCTCCCTCTTCCTGAGAGCCTGTCAGGCATGCCCTGTCCCAAAGCCAAGCTGGCTATTCCTCTGAGAGTTAACCTGTCCTTCTCTTCTCTCCCCCAGTATTTCTCTGACTTGAGGAACAGTATAGTGAACAGCCAGCCTCCGGAGAAACAGCAGGCAATGCACCTCTGCTTTGAGAACCTCATGGAAGGCATCGAACGCAACCTCCTAACCAAGAACAGGGACAGGTCAGTGTGGGCTGGAGACCCTTCGCGGGGCTGAGCCCGTCCCCAGGCGCGCTGACCTGGAGAACCTCACGCTCCTCGCAGCAGCCTCACGGAGAGCAAAACACAGGAGGAACGGGCGACCTCCCGCTCTAATGCGCTGCTCTGCCTTTTAGGTTTACACAAAACCTGTCGGCGTTCAGGCGAGAGGTGAACGACTCCATGAAGAACTCCACCTACGGCGTGAACAGCAACGACATGATGAGCTGACGTCTCCCAACTCCACCTGTACAGAGCAGCATCTCTTTGGCCTGGCCCAGAGGGGTTACCGTTTCCGATGGAAAGAAAAGAGGGCGTTTCTAATCCCTGCTCTTCCCCAGGGCTGGATTGCGGCGCTCGCTTTGGGCCGTACTCCACGTCCCGAGGGAGGAGGGAACAGGAGGGGTTGTTGAGCTCACCAGGGCAGGGTGCTTCTGTTTCCGTGGGAGGGGGTGGAAGGGCAAGAATCCAGGTGCAAGAATCCAGCGTCTCCCTACCCGAATGTCTGCGTGGAACGCCAGCGCTCTGCTGCAGCCTGCCTTGTATAAACATGTACATTTTTTCATAACATTTTGAACAAGGTTTATATTGACTCAGTTTAAAAAAAAAAAAAAGAAAAAAAAAGTGTGATTGAAATTTTTACAGAGTCCTGGTGCACCGGTGCTGGCGTGAGGGTTGTGTATGCGAGTGAGGAAAGCGTGTCCTGCAGGCCTGAAGCTTTACTGGGCGAGGGGTGGGTGTGTGAAAGTGCAGAGATATATTTAGTGACAAGTGTAGAGAGAAGCAAAAAAAAAAAAAAAATCAACAACAAAAAAAAAAGGCATTGTAAAATTCCAAATGTATATTTTTTCTTATTAAGCCCCTTGAAATCACAACTTCCTGTTACCGTCTTGCCCTTGTTATTAGGAACTCTAAGCCATGCCGCGTGATCTTTCATTCGTGCTTGCTCGTGGGTGTCTCTCCCGTCCCCCGGTGTAGCAGTAGGCGCTGTCCCCCTGTCAACCCGCTTCTCGCAGGGCCCTTCCCTCCCTCCCACCCCTGCCTCTCCTCACTCTGCCTTCTCCTTTTCTTTTTTTCCCCCCCATCTCAGTCGAGCAGGAAGCACGCGTGGGATGCTGCGGGCGAGCTTGCCGTGCTCTCCGGCACTTGCAGCAGCGCGTCCCCGCGCTGGGAACCGAGCAGGCACAGCCAACCCGCTGCCTCCCAGGGTTCTTAATAACAAGGTTTGCCTAGCATGAAGTATTTAACACCCCTTTAAAATGATTCTGGTTTTTTTTTTCCTAAGTCACCATAATAAATGTTTTGGATATAAAATTGACTTACAGAGGAAAGCTGATGGGGGAGGGAACCTGTTTGCCTTGTACTTTTTCCACTATTGTTGCTGCTAGTCGTGTGCATCCTCTTGCTCAGCTCTACCCACAGACACTCAGTCCTTAGGGCTTCAGTTTCTCTTCCCAGACACCACCTACTCTTAATTTTTTCTTTTTTTTTTCTTTTTTTTTTTTTTTTTTTTTTTTTTTTTCTTCTGCGA